CATTTGAAATTTTGGCTTTCATCACTATACATGTTTATCTTTCTTCAGAAAAAATATTAACAAAATCAAAAAATTTATCCGGGGCCCTCTGGTTAAGCTGACACAGAATGAACCATATGGAATATATAATACATATTTGAAATGTATTATAATTACAAAAGTGTAACTAGAATATTGTTAGTTAATTAGTACTTGTAAAGCAAATATTAATGGATTACTCTGCACAGCCATTTTCTAGATCCCTTAATCCTACCCCATACCTAAAGTAATCTACTACAACAACTATTTACTATCAATAAGCAGTAATTAGGAGTTTATTGAGGGAAAACACTTAGTGAATGTGTGTTCCCACACACACACACACACACACACACACACACACACACACACACACACACACAAAAAGACTAATGAACATTTCAAAAGTGTTTTGCTTTTAAGAATGTGCACATAAACATGTCAAGAAAATGTAATTAGTCATATATTACAGTTTCTGAGTTTATATAACATATGAAATTTACTAATCCTGTACTTTGAGTAGCCGAGTATATGTGCTATGCGTGTTGCTGTCACGTCATGTCTCAGTTTTTAACACTGTCTGAGCTTCTATTCCTCTCTCTCATTTCTTCCCATGCTGTAACCGTTCATTCATTCATTCAGTCTGCTCTCATCTTCTTCTTTAGTAGAACTTTCCACCAACTGTGTGTGCTCACAGTTGTACTCAAAACCCCATTTAGCAGTGCCAAAAAAAACCTTATCCATGGTAAAAATCGCAATTTAATCTTGATGAAAACACTTTGCTACGTGTCATTCCTATCAGTGGTCTTTTGCAATGACTATATTCGCAGTACTATAGCACAGCCTCTCATTCCATATTGCTTACATGTACAATATATCTGCATATTAGGCTTTAGATGCAGCTCATGCAATCAGAATGTACAGTCAAATTTATTCTCTTTTTTAAATAAATAAATATCTAGTCTGCAGTGAGGAGTTATCTCTTTGTCAGCATGCTAGAAATGACAGTCTCTATGTCTCCCTCACACACACAATCAGTGGCCTTTAAACACAGTAGCTTAATAATTTACTTGACTCTGTTAAAAGCCTTTCCTTTATTTTCAAACTGTGGTGTACCAAGGTGTCTTATTAACCAGTGGTGGACAAAGTACACAAATCAATTACTTGAGTAAAAGTACAGATCCGTATAATAAAATATTACTCCAGTAAAAGTACTCCGTTTTAAATTTTACTCGAGTGAAAGTACAAAAGTACTTGATTTTTTATGTACTCAAGTAAAAAGTACCAATAGATGAATGTTTATTTTGCAATTTTATATAGGCTACTTTTATCATTTAATTTTATATTAGCATATATTTTTTTATAATCCTACTGCTCAAAATACCTGGGATTTTCCCAAAATAACCAATAAGGAAATAATGAATATAATAAGGAAAATATAATTAGATTTTCATAATGATTTTTTTCTTCTCAAACCTTGTCTGTGGTGTAAAAACACCCCTGGCCAAATGCCCCCAGAGGGCATCACTTCCCACTTTGATAATTACTGTAGTT